CCTCCGTGGATCTCCACGAGGCGAGAGGGAAATGCCGCCACAGGTCAACCTTACAGTCGGCGTGCCGGTCAGTCCGCTGGACGTCCGGCCGGACAGCCTCCCGCCCCTCCCGCTAGCTCTGGGCAGGGAGGACGGGGAGGTGGTGAGACGGGCAGTTAGACCACAGCGGCCTCCACGCGGATGACAGGACTTACTGGTTCCACCTCGCGGTCCGGACCGTTTTCCCGTCGTGTCGTCCACGCGGAGGAGAACACAGTTCAGGGCCGACTGCTCCTGAGGGAGGGAGGGAGGCCCCGTGTGGCCGGGTCAGCAGGCAGCGGGGTGGAGGGCGGAGCTGGTTCTGCAGAGACGGTGTCTGCCTGCCCCTGTCCCTCCTCTCCCGCCGCCCCTGGTGCGCCCACACCCAGACCGCCCAGTGAGGGGGGCTGACTGAGTGTGCCCACGGGTGGATGGCCAGGGCCAGGTCACCAGGCCGTCATCTGATTGGTCAGGCTGATGGTACGAGGCTGCGGTCTGATTGCCCAAGGTTAGGTGCATGGGCGGGGCCTGATTGGCCAGGGGCAGGGCCCCTTCACCAGGTTGTTTCAAACACTGAGCCTAAGTGTTGAGCGTTTTGGCAATCTTCAAGTCATTGTATTCTTTTTTTTAAGTTTTCTAAAACAAAAAGTGTATATTGATTTGAGAGAGATGAAGAGAGAGAGAGAGAAACATGAATCAGCTGCCTCCTGCACGCCCCCTACTGGGGATCGAGCCCACAACCTGGCACGTGCCCTGACCGGGAATCGAACCGCGACCCTCACCCTGTGTAGAGGGCACCTTCACCCTCTGCCGCAGGCGGCTCAGCTGTGGCTGGGCAACGGGACTTACATGTGTGATCAGTGCTCACCTCTGAGCCACTGCCGGGCAAGCTGATAATGTTGTATGACCTGGGAATGATATAAATTTCCAAATGGCCCCTGGCAGAAAGAGGTTCCCCATCTGTGATCTAAAAGATGCAGGCTGCGGTGTTTTAGGAATGACATATCACAATGCTGGGGTTTAAATACTTAGGAAGGAAGGAGAGAAGGGAAGGAGGAAGGAGAGGAAGAAAGGAGTGTTCACATGGCACATCAGCGTTTAGGGTCGTCACACCATCCCCTCGACCTCTGTCTATGTGGCCTTTCCCTGAATGGCAAGTCAGGTGAATGACCGTGGGGCTGTCCTGAGTGTCTGGGCGCCCCTCCCAGGCCTCAGTGGACTGTCCCCGTGTCTGGGCGCCCCTTCCTGGGCCTCGGACTGGCCCCCGTGTCTGGGCGCCCCTTCCTGGGCCTCAGTGGACTGTCCCCGTGTCTGGGCGCCCCTTCCAGGCCTCGGACTGGCCCGTGTCTGAGCTCCCCTCCTGGTGGGGGGCAGGGGGGAAGAGTTGACGCAGCCCGTCCCGCAGAATCTCGCTGGCCGACCTGAGCCCCAGCGTCGTGCTGCACATGACCCAGAAGCTGGGCTACAAGAACAGCGACGTGATCAACACGGTGCTGGCCAACCGCGCCTGCCACATCCTCGCCGTCTACTTCCTCCTGAACAAGAAGCTCGAGCGCTACGTGTCAGGGGTGAGTGGCCTCATGTCCGTGGCGGGGGGTGAGTGGCCTCGTGTCCGTGGCTGGGGGGAGTGGTCTCGTGTCCGTGTTGGGGTGAGTGGCCTCGTGTCCGGGCGGGGTGATACGTGTCAGGGGTGAGTGGCCTCATGTCCGTGGCGGGGGGTGAGTGGCCTCGTGTCCGTGGCTGGGGGGAGTGGTCTCGTGTCCGTGTTGGGGTGAGTGGCCTCGTGTCCGTGGCGGGGTGAGTGGCCTCGTGTCCGTGTGGGATGAGTGGCCTCGTGTCCGTGTGGGGTGAGTGGCCTTGTGTCCGTGTCAGGGATGAGTGGCCTCGTGTCTGTGTGGGGTGAGTGGCCTCGCAAGTGCATGTCCCTCCATGGACAAGGCACTGGGATGATGGCCTTTCCCACAGCTGACTCGGGGTCTGTGCTGTGCATTCACCCTGAGGTGAGGCTTACTGTCCCGAACGGGGATACGACGGTAGCAACCACGCCAGCCGGTTTGGCTCAGTGGGTGGAGTGTCGGCCCGAGGACTGAAGGGTCCCAGGTTCAGTTCTGGTCAAGGGCAGGTACCTTGGTTGCAGTCTCGATCCCTGGCCCTGATTGGTGCACCTGTGGGTAGCAGCTAATCGATGTGTCTCTCACATTGATGTTTCTCTCTGTCTCTCCCTCCCACTCTCTAAAAAAATCAATGGAAACATGTCCTTGGGTGAGGAGTAACAGAAAAGAAAAAGAAAGAAAGAATCAAGAAACTGGCCTTTACTGGTGGGGCCGGCAGGGACGAGGGCTGCGTGTGGGGGAGTGAATAACCCACGTCTGCAGCCTGTGCACAGCTCAGAGGGCGT